ACAAAGAATGGAGGTTGTTTTCCACAACGAAGAGGTTGCTTATCCTTATTCATTTTGTCCATTCACTTTCGTTTTTCATTAAGTGTTATGTTAACAAACACCTTTTAGAGAACTTGGCGAAGAGTTGCTTCTCTCTTAGTCGTTCAAGTACGAGTCTCAAATGGTGTTCATGCTCCTCTTCATTCTTGAAGTATATCAAGATATCATCAATGAATACTATCACAAATTGATCGAAATTTCACTAAACACACGGTTCATCAAGTCCATGAATGCCGCCGGTGCGTTGGTTAAACCAAATGACATCACAAGAAACTCGTAGTGACCATATCTAGTGCGAAATGCACTTTTAGGTATGTCACCCCCCTTGATCTTCAACTGATGATACCCCGACCTCAAATCGATCTTCGAGAACACTATTGCCCCTCGAAGTTGATCAAACAAGTCATCAATTCTTGGTAAAGGATACCTATACTTGATTGTGACTTTGTTCAATTGTCGGTAGTCGATACACATTCTTAGTGTACCGTCGTTCTTCTTCACGAAGAGTATGGGTGCTCCCCACGGTGAATGACTGGGTCTGATGAACCCGTTGTCCAATAGCTCTTGAAGTTGAACTTTCAATTCTTGAAGCTCTGCCGGTGCCATTCGATAAGGAGGGATCAAAATGGGTTTGGTTCCCGGCTCCACTTTAATTACAAATTCGATCTCTCTATCGGGTGGAAGCCCCGGTAGGTCTTTGGGAAAGACGTCCGGGTACTTGCACACGACCCGTACATCTTTGATGTCGACTTCATTCTTTGTATCGTCTATAAAGTAAGCAAGGTATGCGTGGCATCCTTCATCATCATCATCTTCCGTGCTCTTATCACGGATATGATACAAGCATGAGATTTTCCCCGATCTCCTTCGAAGCATAACATGTTTCCTTCATCATCCTCGAGCTCCAACACTTTGGTGTAACAATCTACTCGAGCATGGTGCTTCTCGAGCCAATCCATTCCTAGGATTGCATCGAACTCCAACATACTTAGAAGTACGAAATCACAAGTCAAAGGTTGACCCGTAACTTCCACCTCACATGATGGATAGTAATGATTTCTCTCTATGTCGTCTCCTAATGGTGTGGAGATGACGTGCACTTTGTCGTGTATGCACTCAAAATAATAATCAATACGACACTAATACGTAATATAGTGTAGTAAGGTTCGTATCCACAGGGAAAGGAACACTTTTCTTTTTATAAAACTAGAAATAAGTAATGGGGGGGGGGGTTGAGTTGTTGATAAACTTAAATTATATTTAAGCACAAAGATGAATGACTTATGTGGTTTAATTAATGAGAAGGAGACTTGGTTTTGCTTTTATCCACTTAATGAAATGTTCGTCGATCCCGGTTATATCTTTAACTATCTTCCTCTCGAATACTCAATCGAGGAGTATATCCAATTCATCGAGGGTAGTTATTAATAACGAGACGCGTTCATTAATAAAACTTACTACCGAGCCAATATAGAACACGCGCCGTATATTCACTCGATAGTAGCAATAACATCAAGATGAAAACGATTGAGATTGATAACCTCAACACAAGCGGTTTATTGGTTTAATCAATATAATAAAGTTCCCTTAGACTATTAACCATGAGACGCATGCATTAATAATCCAAGTTTACTACCATGAAAGGACCGAATTAATAACAAGCATATTAATCGACCGATTCTAGTATTAATTAATATATGAAACAAAACTACTTGATCCTTTAAGTAATGCTCAAAATATTAATATGAAATAGGAAAATGAATTAATTAATATTCAAGGAAGAAGATTAAAGAAAATAATTCACAACTTACAATTCATTAAGCTTCAAAGTAGCAAAACCAAGATGGAAGAGTCTAACTCCTCATTTGGAGACTAAACATGATAAAAATATAAAGAAAGTACTTAACTAAACTGAGTTTAGAAGTGTATAGGAATTGGTGATTTTTGTGGGAAGGAAAGGGGTCTATTTATAGGAAAATGGGGCATGCAGGGGTGTGTACCTGATCGGGTATAGAAGGATCCCGATCAGGTACACTCAGAAGCTTCGCAGAAGCTGAAAAATAGGGTCATACCCGATCGGGTCTGTCGGTCACCCGATCGGGTATGACACTCGAACATGGCCAAAATCTTCCCCGCATGTTGCTTGGTTCCCGGGTTGATTCGATTTGATTTTCCAGCAGGGTACCCGATCGGGTATAGGTCATACCCGACCGGGTACAACACAAAAATCAAAATCTCCATTTTGTCTTGAGATTTTTGCACCTTCCTTCCACTTGTGATGTTCACCAATGGTCCCCAAAGTGTTCTTGGACATGTTTGAGTTCAGAATGAACCTAATCTAAACAAATTACAAATATTTTTACAAACTAACTATTACACCAAAAGTGTGTAATTTCCAAAGTAACAATCAATCAAAACTAATTAAAAATACAAACATAAACATGGAAATTACATGAATGTCATACTTTTTCATGTTTAGTCTCCAAATTAGGAGCTAAACTCTTCCATCTTGGTTTTACTACTTTGAAGCTTAATGAATTGCAAGTTGTGAGTTATTTTCTCTAATATTCTTCCTTGAATATTAATTAATTCCTATTCCTAGTTATTTTCTCAACTAGTTTTGTTTCATATATTAATAATTACTAGAATCGGTCGATTAATACGCTTGTTATTAATTCGGTCCTTTCACGGTAGTAAACTTGGGTTGTTAATGCATGCGTTTCATGGTTAATAACCGAAGGGGAATTAATTATATTGATTAAACCGAAACCGCTTGTGTTGAGGTTATCAATCTCAATCGTTTTCATTTTCATTTTATTGCTACTATCGGGTTAATTAAGGCACGTGTTCTATATTGACTTAGTAGTAAGTTTTATTAATGAGCACGTCTCGTTATTAATAACTACCCTCGATGAATTGGATATGTACTCCTTGATTGAGTATTCGAGGGGAAGAGAGTTAAAGATATAACCGGGATCGACGAACATTTCATTAAGTGGATAAAATTAAAGCAAAGCCAAGTCTTCATCTCTATTAAGTAAACCACATAAGTCGTTCATCTTCGTATTTAATTAATTAAATCAAAACAATCTAAAAAACTCCTTGTTACTTATTTCTAGTTTTGTAAAAAGAGAATTATTCTTTTCCCTGTGGATACGAACCTTACTTCACTATACTACATATTAGTGTTGTATTGATTATTATTTTGAGTGCATACACGACAAAGTGCACGTCAGTAAACAAGGAAGATGAATATTTTTCAAGTGTTTTTTAAAAGCAATATCTAGTACTCATTATGTCTCTAATTAAGTTGCAAAATTGATTTTTTAGGTAAAACAAATTCATTGTATTCACTTAGTTTGAATATAAATTCTTAATTAAATTTTAATTTGAATTCTGCAACTTTATAGAGATCCTAATACAATCTCTGAATATATAAATTTATATTATTAAAATTGAATTAATTATCAATATGGAGGATGTACTTTTTTATTGGTTGCCCAGAAATGTTAATTTTGCAAAACATTTTGGAACAAATGTAGTATATAATTATAAAATGATACTAATGGTAGTATATAGGTTGCAAATTTCACAAATTTAACACTTATGAGAGATATTGTAATACTTTTAGGAGCTACATGATAGGCTGAAATGTAATAGTGATGCGATGCATTTGTTTCACCAAAGTATTTATTGAGCACAATGTCTAGATTTGGGTTCCAAAATCTATAAGCTTTAGTTGAAAATGAAAATATACCTACAATCTCTGCCCTAGACAAAGCATACAAATCACTAGACCTTTTAAAAAAATTCGAAGGGGAAAAATGCAAATATACCCCTAAACTTTTAAAAGGTGTACAAATACCCCCAATGTTTCTATAAATGATTAAATTTACCCTTATTCACTTAAAATGAATAAAATAAATTTTGAAAACACAAATAAATTATAAATTTAAATTTTGAAATTGAGAAATAAAAAACTTAAAGTGTTAAAATTAAAGATTTATTTTTAGGTTAAAATATTAAATATGTAATTTTTTTATTGAAAAATTACAATTTTTCCCTTGTAATTGAAACATTTTAAATTCATAAATATGAATTTTAGTCTTGCTCCAAAATTTCGAACACATTGATACATTATTTAAAATAACCCTCTTTGGATTTGTTTAAACATAATAAAATTAAATTCATTATTTTGTAACTTTATAGTGCAAATAATATAAAAAATTATTTTTTTTACATTGCAACACATATGTTAACACTTTTCCGAAAGAATCATTGATGTATAGTAAGGTTTTGAGACAATATTTTATACTAACTATAATAAATTGTGATATAAAAATAAAAAATGAAGAGTAGGACACAAGTAGTTTTTTTTTTAATTTCACATTTAAAATTATTATTTGTTTTTGGCATTTTATAAAATTATTTTATTTATGGTTTAAATATGTTTTTAGTCCCTGCAAATATAGTCCATTTTGTTTTATGTCCTTGCAAAATTATTTTTTTGTTTTTCATCTCTGGAATTTATGTTAGATTTCATTTTAGTCCATCAATGGTGATAACAACGACTAATAGGTTTTTCTATGATTCTTTGTCATGTTATTCAAAAATTTTAAAATTTTATGTTTTAGAAGTTTTTTATACATAATTTAGGAATCTGAATAATTAGTTTTGAATTGTTTTAACCCTCATATCGACCTCAAAAAAATTGTAAAAGGATAAATTTAAACATTTCTAGTATGTTTATGTAACTAACAATATTGTTTTACCTAAACAAAGTGATTTTAGAGTTAGTGATGGACTAAAAGCAAAATATTGCATATTACAGGGATGAAAAATAAAAAAATATTTTTGCAAGGATCTAAAACAAAATGAGTCATATTTGGAGGGATTAAAAAGATATTTAAGCCTTTATTTATTTAAAAAAAGGGTAAATTTTCTCCAGTATAGGAACATGAGGAATACTTTTGCACATTTTAGAAGTTTAGGGGTATATGTGCATCTCCACATGTACATATACTTCAAGGTATTGAACCTTTCTCCAAACCAGAATGGTGTTTAGAAAACATTAATTATTTTATTATATGTTTCATTTTCAACCTTTAATTTGTGAGATGAATCCTTTGGAGACCTCTCGTGAGCCTCTTATTCACAGTGTTGCTAGACATGATAAAACTAAATAATGTATTTGGTTTAAAATATAGTGCAATTAGGTATGACATACAATATAGAAGTTATAGATCATATTTCTAGCCAATTAGTGGTGCCACTTTGGTGTTATACGACTTCGCCAACTGGATTGTGATTAATCACTATTTTGTTGGTATGATCCAACTATGCTAATATTCCTTTACATTTATGGAAAATAGGTCATGATTGAATTGGAGAACATAAGTCAAACCTTGTCAATTTATTAGATATTGTAAGTACATTTTAACATTGTCACTTAACTTAATATCATCACTATTTTTAGCAATGTCATTACACATTTTCAAAATAGAAGTGTTTAGATTGATTGATATATTATATCAACTATTTTGACAATGTAGACGTTGGAATATCATTATGCTGATATTGTCATGAGTAAATACGCATGATCTATTCTTTTACGTACGGTATTAATTTAGTACAACTCCAATAGACTTTAGAACTTCTACTCAAATTATGTAGTCGAGAAATTACATATATATTAATGGTAACTATTCGAATATTTTGGCTATTATATTTTACGATCTTCTAATCTTTTGTGTGTTTATATAAGGGTGTTTTTGTAAAATCACAAATTATTGTTCCTGTTTTGCATTTTTATTTGTCAATTTTGTCTTCTATGGTGAGAATTTTCTCAAATTTAATTGAACCAATTAGTATATTGTTTTTAAAATTTCTTGGAATAATGTTAATATTAATAAAGATCTAATCTCTCATGAAAAAAGTATTTAACAACATCTAATAAAATGAAAAGCACTAGTTTTACTCCCACATGACAAATTATTTAAAGTTGTAATGATTGTTTTATATTATAAGCATATTTGGATCATGCTGAAGTAGATATTCAAAATCTGCACTTTGGAAAAATAAAAAACATGATTTAAATATGAGGGAATGTTATTTTGATACCATAATAATCACGTCTTAAGAAATTACAAACGTCACACCACAAGATAGTTATCTATAAATTATACTATCTATAACTATCTACACCTTCACCATATAGTTTTCTCAATACTTTATTTCAACCAAATATATCATATTGCTCTCGAGAATGTCTAACAATAATGAGAATAAGAGAGTTAGTAGGGGACGCCAAAGGATCCCTCTCACCAAAATTGAGAATGAGATTAATTGTCAACATTTACCAAACGTCATTCTGGCCTATCCAAAAAAGCTAGTGAGTTGTCTACTATGTGTGGTGTGGATATTGCTATGGTGGTATTTTCACCTGCAGATAAGGTTTATACTTTTGGAAGCCCAAGTGTCGATGCAGTACTTAACAAATACTTTGGTGTAAACGCTACACCAGGCCGGGCAGGTGTGACCGATGAGATAATTCGTGCACATTATGAAGATAACATGAGAATCATTACACCTCAAATAAGTGACATGGAATCTCTTGTTCTTGATCTAACGAAAGAAAGTCAAGCTCATTGTGAACTTGAAAAAGGTAGACCACTTATTTTAAATCTACAATTGCATGAGTTGGATAATATAAAACAACTTGGAAGCAATTTCTTCTCAAACTTATGAAACAAAGGAACCTAGCCACTCCATTGGATAGAGGTAGCTTGTATGGCCCCTTCTCATATGTTTGAATCAATAATGACGGTTCGGGACCAAGTGGAACTAGCTAGTTCATAACTAAAATGGTTATTTCAACATCATGCATGGATGAGGAGAGTTATGTTTCTATATTCATATTCGGCTTAAAATTTTCTATGTTATGTGTGATTGTCATCAATAAAATGTCTCTATGTTATTATTCGTGTGGATCGTTGCGCTTACCGCTACACTAAAAGCAATCGCTGATAGTGTAGCACGCCCTTCCCCCTTTTATAGAACAGGCAAAGCGCCACGCGGTCCGATTGCACCGGCAGGCTGGCAGATTGCTGACCGCAGACCCGCGGCAGGCCCAACAATCTCCCCCCCAGCACCTGCCAGCCCACAACTGAGCAGCATGCTGTTGTCGGGGGTCGAACCTGTGACCTTTGGCTCTGATACCAATTGTGGATCGTTGCGCTTACCGCTACACTAAAAGCAATCGCTGATAGTGTAGCACGCCCTTCCCCCTTTTATAGAACAGGCAAAGCGCCACGCGGTCCGATTGCACCGGCAGGCTGGCAGATTGCTGACCGCAGACCCGCGGCAGGCCCAACAATTCGGAAACAATTAATGTTTTCATTTGTAAAGGTTACGTTAATTAGTAGATACGTTATTTTGTAAACATGTGGTCAACCGTGCTAATAAATATGATACTTTTGAGTAGTGAACGCTGGAGACGTGCAAATAGGAATGTGCATAGTTTAGAATCGTGCTCCAATAGAAGACATTTATGTGTTGAAGACTTCATTCCCGCACTTTAAAATTTTAGTTCAAATTAAAATAAAATTACTTAAATGACAATGTTTTTGTCTAGTTTTTTTTAAAGGAAAACCGCTTATATTAATATCATTAGGATTTGGATCGATACAACAATAAAATGCATTTGCCCGGTAAAACTCAAGTACAAAAGTTTAATTATATGTGTTTTGAATTGAGAGTCTTCTAGCAATTGCGATTTGAGACATGAGTTGGTCCATCTTGAGGGCGGACCGGGCCAAGTATAGCTAACTTGAAGTCTGAAAGCTTTGCACTCCGTTTCTCATCTAACAAATAATTTGATGATTCGAAGTCTGGAAGTAAAACATAAATTTATGTGTTAGGGGCATTTGTAATACCAATAACAAACAAATCAGTGAAGCTGAAAATTCATCCCTTCAAGCAAATAGACTAAGAGAGATGCATATAATCATATAAAAAATAGGATTCCTTTACAATGTATAAAAATATACAAATAAAAAATAGGACAAAATGAATTTACCTTTTATCAACCTCTACACAGCAGCCAAACAAGGTTTCATGCTCAACAACATTCACTTCTGCCAAACAAACATTGTGCCCCTCCCTGCAACCCATCAAGGAGAAAGCAGACTGGTTATGTTGTAAGATCCAAGAAAAGACTTGTGGTAATGACCATTGACAAAGGCCTTGTTTGTAATGAGTCTATTCGAATGCTTTTAGATCTTCCAAACTAAACTAGCTTTTAATACTATTTCAGTGAGTGAGCTTTAATGCTTGATTAACAAAACTTTCAATTGGCTAAAAATGTAGATGGAAAAGCTCATTTTACACATCAACCATCAAAGTACTATAACCAAACATCTCTGCATAAATAGCTGCATTAAACAACTACATACTGGTGTGTCATAAGAAAACATAGAGCAGGTTGAGGGTGGCACATTTGACTTCATTGTCTTTCTTTCCCTCTTCTTTTCAGCACTGTGGAATAGAAAAAATCTCATTTAATCAAATCACCAGAGAAATGCTAATATAAAAAAAGACAGTTAAAAGAACATCAAGAACATTAACTAGGTGGGTGAGTAGCATAAACTCTACATAATAGGGATGCAAAAAGAACCTAATAATCATCAAAGCTAACAAACCAATTGTTTGGGGCATCTAAAAAGCACATAACACAAACACCTGTGGCTTTGTGGACAGAACACAGAGTTATTCATTCTTCTGGCAAGCCTGTACTGACAAAACTCCAATAAAGATTCGATCTTTGAGCTTTTTGTGGAGCAACCCCCTTTTCAGAGTCTCACATGCACTTATCAAATGAACTGCTCAAGAAGATAAAAGGAAGAAGAATAAGAAAAGAAAGACTTGACCGATCAAGAGAGAGAGAGAGAGAGGGAGAGAGAGAGATAAATGAAGTCATTGAAAAAAGATGGCTCCCTTCTATGATATCTCTATTTACCTCTATTTCTTTTTTAATAAATTCCACCACTTCTTTTTCTTCACCTTCAAGTCTCGCACACGGGAACTTGCAGCTGAAATAATCATTTCTAGTGATTAGAGAAGGAACTAATGAATCAATCAGTGAGTACATTCTAACAAAATTTGAAATACTACTTCCTCAGAAGTATAAATTTGACATACTTTAAACTAATAAAAATATTTCTATGTACACTCACCTGCAGGAGGGCAACTAGAGTGGACTTCGTCAGAAGTATGAATCCCTTGATCCGAGTGGTCGATACCTCCTTCATGAGGATAAATAGAATTATAGTGCACCTCCGCCCAAAAACTCAAATATATGACTGCATGGGGATATAAAAGGTCAAATTGTCACATTACCATAAAAAAAGTTACACTGATGCTCAAATTGGTAAAAGAAATCTTTTATTCTATTGCACAAAATATGCACATGATCCACACACACAGCGCACACAATATGCACAAAGTTTTGAAAGGACAATACTATATACACCGCGACAACAAAAAAGTGACAATGTGTTCATCATTGAAGTATTAGCGTCTTACTAATGCAAAACTCTTATGAAGTATGACATTTTCGAAATATGTTAATAAGAGCTTTGTGTACTAAGGCAACACTCACATTTTCCTCTTTGAAGATATGATCAATAGAAGAAGAGATGATGAAACAAATCACTTCTATTACTGGAAATTGGTTCTCTTACTGGAAAGGTAGAAGTCAAGCTACGCATATCTTGCAATATAATGCACAATCTGCCATTATTTTCATTTGTTCTATTGATTTTTCCAGTTAGTTAAAATAGAAAACTTTCTCTCCATGTAATAAATGCACTTTCCACATTTAGAAGAATCAAAAGGAAATTACCTCTATTTGACTTTTGCGTCTTCGGAAGGATATCGATGAAACATGTATCCTTGTATGATGTTATGACAACAATCTTCACACCATACTATCCAACAAGTAAAGTATCACCAATATATGTTATTACAAAATATTATTATATGTAATTTAAAGTTGTTTGTAAAGAAGATCCAGATTAATACCAAGTCAGCAGCAGCCTTTAATGTTACATGATCACCCCACTCTCCATCCCTGAATTTGTTAATAGTAATTAATAAATGCATACCTTATTTAGTTAAAATAAGAGCAGTATAAAACTAAAGAAACGGGAAAAATAAACCAAGGGAAAACTGAGTAGTACTCCATCATCCTCTTCACATAATCGTCATAAGCCATTGGTACATACACCTCATACATCTCTGGGTGATTCATAAGCTGATGGAATTGAAGATTATAGAAGATCACAGTAAATAGGTCCTCAAGAAAATCCATATTAAGTATTCGTAAAAATAAGATCTACTAAGAATTACCTGATTAACAACTTGTTGTCTCACAAAATTGTGATGTTCAGGCATCTGATACAACTGATCTGATAGAGCACGGAACTGGAATATAAAACCCAAATAAAACAGTTTTTACTTAAACCTCAGAAAGGGAAAGAAATATGCACCTAAATGGAACTGTGAAGGAGATAACCTGGCAGTTCCCATCCCCTTTAACTATGTTCTCAACCAGGCCACAACGTTGCAATCTAAAAACAGAAGTAGTGAAAGTGAGAAGATAAAGTAAGTAAAATTAACTATGTGCAAATGTTATAAAGTCATTAACAACTTTAATGAAAAACAAAAAAGTTTCAAGATGTCCAAAGGAAGAATTATGCATATATCATGAAAAATGAAAGGACTTTTTCCAAAAGAAAAGTTCTCAGGAAGTGTGCATAATTTTTACTTCGATAAACTTGTAAAAGAAAAGAACGTTTCAGTCCAATTACTTCTAATTGGGTATTTATAGTATCTCTGTTGTTTTTAGGTTATTAGCTGACACGGTACTTACACTAAACATGCACATAAATTACACTGTCACTATTTCTGCATTTGTGCTTTAATAGTCATTACACCTAAATGTAATAACGAAAAACCAGTTCAATCTTCAAAATAAAGTTTGTCTAAGAAACATCATTAATGTCTACTTATTGAAAACTTTTCCAAAGACTAGCAATTACCTGTCTAGAAGCCTTTCTTTATGAGATGTGGCTTCATCCTCTGAAGGTATATGTGTATTTATTCTAGGAACAAGCTGCATGAAAGGAGCGTAATATAAGTTTCAATTCCAGTATTCCTTAAAAACAATTGCAACAAAATGTTTACTCACCGGAACAACATCAACTTCATTGAGCTGCCTGGTGAAATCAGCATCAAACTCTGATTCACTTTTTATTCCCAATGCCTGGTTGGGTTCTTCACCACCTGAATGTCTGTATTCAACAGGGTGGCTAGAGGAAGATGGTTCAAAGAAAATAGACTCTTCTGGAACTTCGTTATTAGTTCCTGATAATATAATAAAGTTCATCGATATGGCATAGTAATGCTAATATATGTAAGGAGCATATGGACAAAAAGATTGAAAACTTAACCGTACCTGAAAAATGATCCTTAGATGGATAGTCATCAATAACCTGCCATGACTGGACACCATCATCGCTGGGGAATTGCTGGCCATGATAACACCCTTCGTTATAGTAAGCTCTAGATTCTCCTGTAATTGAGAGCTGGTTTTGCAACGCATGAGCGATTTCCTCATCAAGATTGGTGTTGTTATAGTAAACTGTGTCATCATCAGCATGTTGTTGTTGACCAATTCCAGCTTCAGGCTGACCACTCTCTCCATATGAATAATAGAAGAACTTGTCTACATCGAAAAGATTGAGGAATCCAGAATCTGACTCTTGATCATTCATTTTTATAAATCTCTTTTTATTCGCCTCCTCAACCAAAGGTATCTTTGTTATTGATCACCTAATCAAGAAAATTCAAGCTTCAAGTCAAGTAGTAAAAGTGAAATAATTTACACACAGAATACAAAAGTTCAAGTTAGGAAGTAGTAAAAGTGAATTGATTTAGAGAGTGTATTATAGTATAAAAGTTAATACTATTATACTATAGTATGAACTAATTAAAACAGACATTCTATTAGGGAGTAGTAAAAAGTATTTTGTTATAATGTGCAACAAGTAACCATATAGCAGCTTGGCAGCAATTCATATTTAGTGCTTGACATTGAAATTTTACATCTTTCAAGATGAATGTTGGACTGGACTTGATTATAAAAAATCATCTCCTATATGGTTCTTTGAAAGACAAATATGACATTTTAAGACATATGCACCCACATTCAGAATTATCTAAACCCCATATGATTTTGTTACAAAGAAAAATTAGATTTATAAAAAATACTCATTCATGAAATTTGGACATCTGCCTAGAAGAGATTTGACTCTTTCTATATACCCAGCAGAAAGAAAAAATCTTTTTACATATATATGAATAAGAACACAAACTCAGTCATGAAGTATATACCACACATAGAAAGCGCAACTGCAGCATCCACGAGTGATCTATCTAAGTGGATTGCCCAAATGGTATAGAAGTTAATACTACGGAGGATACTATAGTATGAGCTAATTAAAACAAATCTTGTATTAGGAAGTAGTAAAAGCATTTAGTTACTATATGCAACAAGTAACCTATTCTGACCACACCACATAGCACCTTTGCAGTAGTACATATATAATGCTTAAAGAGAGTTGCATGATCCACATTCATACTTTGCATCTTTCCATATGAATGATGGACTTGATTATAAAAAATCATTCCTTATATGGTTCTTTGAAAGACGAATCTAAAATTTTAAGACCATGCACCCACATTTAGAATTATATAAACCCCATATGATTTTGCAATATGAAAACACAAAGAAAAATTAAGTTTATAAAGAAATACTCATTCATGAAATTTAGACATATTCTTGGAAGAGATTTGATTTTTGCATGAAATTTGGCCAGAATTGAGAAAGATTTTTTTTTTATACCAAAAAATGAATAAAAACAAGAACTCATTCATGAAGTATAGACATCTACCCATAAATGTTTAACTTTGCGATATACCCCACATAGAAAGCATAAAATGCAGCATCTACGAGTGATGATCTCTCTATGTGGATTGCTTAAATGGTATAAAAGTTAATATAGTACTACGGAGTATTATACTATAGTATAGAATGAGCTAATTAAAATAGACATTATATTAGCATGTAGTAAAAGCATTTAGTTACTATATGCAACAAGTAACCTATTCTGACCACACTTAATATATAGCAGCTCTGCAAGAGTACATATATATAATGCTCAAAGAGAGTAGTTGCATATTCCACATTCATTCTTTGCATCTTTCCATATGAGCATTGGACTTGATTATAAAAAATCATCCCTTATATGGTTCTTTGAAAGACAAATGTGACATTTTAAGACCATGCACCCCCATTCAGAAATATCTAAAGCCCGTATAGTTTTGCTACATGAAAACACAAGGAAAAATTAAATTTATAATGAAATAGTCATTCATGAAATTTAGACATATTCCCAGAAGAGATTTGACTTTTGTTTTATACCCGGTAGAAAGAAAAAATCTTTTTACCAATGATGATGATGATGAGTTAATCATTGGCTGAGAAACGTGACAAAGAGGAGGCAACCCGGTTGAAATTGCTCTCTATCCATCTCTGCACGTTTCCAGCTTCACACAATCACACCTAAACTAATGAGATAAAATAATGCAGCAACTGGGAGTGATATATCTAAGTGGATTGCTCAAGTGGTATAAAAGTTCATACTAAACAAATGCACCAAAAATAAAAAAAGGCCGTCTATTAGGAAGTACTCCCTCCGTCCCCTTAAGTTTGTCCCATTTTACCTTTTTCGTCCGTCCCACTAAGTTTGTTCCATACCATATTTGGTAACATTTGAGTGGTTAGAATTCATTCTTACTTTATTTACACTTTATCAATTCAATACTAACCACACAATTCCACTTTTTCTTAAAAACCACACCACACCCCTCCGTCCCAAACTTAGGGGGACGGAGGGAGTAGTAAAAAGTACTCGTATTAGTTACTATATGAAACAAATAACTTATTCTGACCACACCCTACTAGCAGCTCTGCCGCAGCAGTACATATATAATACTCCGTATTCATTAAGAGAGTTGCATATATGATGAGTTGAGATGAATGATGGACTTGATTATAAGAAATCACCCCTTGTGTTGTTATTGGAAAACCAAATTTGACATTTTAAGACCATGTACCCACATTCATAATTATCTAAACCCCCTATGATTATGCTCTATGAAAACACAATGAAAAATTAAATTTATAAAAATACTCATTCATGAAATTTAGCCATCTGCCGGAAGAGAATTAATCACTTTTGCTGTATACCCAGAACAAAGAATGAATCTTTTTGAAACTAAATGAATAAAAACACAAACTCATTCATGAAGTGTAGCCATCTACTATACCCAGAAAAGATTCAATCTTTGCTACATAAAAAAACGTAAAATGCAGAGTGATCTATCAAAGTGGATTGCTCAAATCACAAAGTAAAAGCAAGTAATTGACAGAGTGTTAATGGTGGGATGATCCATCAAACTAAAGAAAGCATAAAACATCACAAACCCAAACAAATTCGACCGACAAAACAAGGAATTATCATGATTCATGAAGTTGGTGTTTGTGCAGGTTACTTGAGGAGGAACAAGAAGAAGAAGAATTCACAGATAGAAACCTTGGATCGAAGAATTTGCAGGAAAGTTTCACTGGAGTGAAGTTGATCGGTAACGGATGATCTGACTGTAATCTAGCAATCTGCTGCGTGATATATGCTTATTATCGAGTCAGGGGGCGGTGGAGGAAGAAAAGAAACCAGAAGTTGTTGTAACGTATATGTGGGGGCGGCGTGATACTTATAGGGTGAGGAGGATGACGGCTTACTCTCTGAATAGAAATTGAAGAAGTAACGGAACTGTTAATGTGTTGGCAAAAACACGAGGAGGAAGAAGAAAGAGTTTGAAATACGCTGCCCATTATACGTCTTTCGGTCCTGTCTGCGCCAAAAATCAGGCAGTAAAAACCGTCTTCTTCTTTTTTTATACAACGGCATCCGTAATAGGGAGCATTACTGTAATCCGGAGTGTTAATAATTGAAATTATTTCAATAATAATACGGAGTAGTAATACACTAAGGATGTTTTTACTTGGACTGTAATTTGCTGGTCTGGTCTGGTCTGGTCTGGTCTGGTCTGGTCTGGTCTGAACTGGTCTGGTAAGGTCTGGTTTCTTTGTATTTTTATAAATAACCAAGTCTGGTCAGGTCTGGACTGGTCTGGTCTGGGACAAATTACAGTCCAAGTAAAAACATCCTAATACTTCGTAATTGAAAAATGTTTGGGGTACGTGGTTTTTATGTATACGTTTTTTATGTACATATTTGGCCCGCCCCTACATCCTACATACTTTGTTCAAAGGTGTTCAGGCGAACACTCAAAATTTTGAAAATAAAATGTAAAAATATATGTATAGAATTGATATAATAATATATGTATTGTATTTTTATATAATATTTTTTACTCTTAACCCTTTTGCTAGTTTTTTGTTGTTGAAAAAATTATGTTTCTTCAATTGCGGGATCAAAAGACATTATTGTGTAATACTTTAACCATGAATTTGTTTGAACACCCAACTTCCAGTTGCAAGATCCGCCACTGCATCCAGCTCAATCGACTAAGACAGCCCATTAATTACTAGAACTTTTTTTTCGGTGGCATTTTTGTAATTTAAGCGAAAAATTGTGGCTTCTGCTAAATGAGCATTGGTGTACATTTAATGAGCATCTGATATATTCTATCAAGTATTTGGAGGCTAACAATGACCATCAATTCATATGTTCTAATTCATTTTTTTCTTTTATAAAAACTTATTAAATTGGTCAAATATATGACTGCATGGGGATATAAAAGGTCAAATTGTCACATTACCATAAAAAAAGTTACACTGATGCTCAAATTGGTAAAAGAAATCTTTTATTCTATTGCACAAAATATGCACATGATCCACACACACAGCGCACACAATATGCACAAAGTTTTGAAAGGACAATACTATATACACCGCGACAACAAAAAAGTGACAATGTGTTCATCATTGAAGTATTAGCGTCTTACTAATGCAAAACTCTTATGAAGTATGACATTTTCGAAATATGTTAATAAGAGCTTTGTGTACTAAGGCAACACTCACATTTTCCTCTTTGAAGATATGATCAATAGAAGAAGAGATGATGAAACAAATCACTTCTATTACTGGAAATTGGTTCTCTTACTGGAAAGGTAGAAGTCAAGCTACGCATATCTTGCAATATAATGCACAATCTGCCATTATTTTCATTTGTTCTATTGATTTTTCCAGTTAGTTAAAATAGAAAACTTTCTCTCCATGTAATAAATGCACTTTCCACATTTAGAAGAATCAAAAGGAAATTACCTCTATTTGACTTTTGCGTCTTCGGAAGGATATCGATGAAACATGTATCCTTGTATGATGTTATGACAACAATCTTCACACCATACTATCCAACAAGTAAAGTATCACCAATATATGTTATTACAAAATATTATTATATGTAATTTAAAGTTGTTTGTAAAGAAGATCCAGATTAATACCAAGTCAGCAGCAGCCTTTAATGTTACATGATCACCCCACTCTCCATCCCTGAATTTGTTAATAGTAATTAATAAATGCATACCTTATTTAGTTAAAATAAGAGCAGTATAAAACTAAAGAAACGGGAAAAATAAACCAAGGGAAAACTGAGTAGTACTCCATCATCCTCTTCACATAATCGTCATAAGCCATTGGTACATACACCTCATACATCTCTGGGTGATTCATAAGCTGATGGAATTGAAGATTATAGAAGATCACAGTAAATAGGTCCTCAAGAAAATCCATATTAAGTATTCGTAAAAATAAGATCTACTAAGAATTACCTGATTAACAACTTGTTGTCTCACAAAATTGTGATGTTCAGGCATCTGATACAACTGATCTGATAGAGCACGGAACTGGAATATAAAACCCAAATAAAACAGTTTTTACTTAAACCTCAGAAAGGGAAAGAAATATGCACCTAAATGGAACTGTGAAGGAGATAACCTGGCAGTTCCCATCCCCTTTAACTATGTTCTCAACCAGGCCACAACGTTGCAATCTAAAAACAGAAGTAGTGAAAGTGAGAAGATAAAGTAAGTAAAATTAACTATGTGCAAATGTTATAAAGTCATTAACAACTTTAATGAAAAACAAAAAAGTTTCAAGATGTCCAAAGGAAGAATTATGCATATATCATGAAAAATGAAAGGACTTTTTCCAAAAGAAAAGTTCTCAGGAAGTGTGCATAATTTTTACTTCGATAAACTTGTAAAAGAAAAGAACGTTTCAGTCCAATTACTTCTAATTGGGTATTTATAGTATCTCTGTTGTTTTTAGGTTATTAGCTGACACGGTACTTACACTAAACATGCACATAAATTACACTGTCACTATTTCTGCATTTGTGCTTTAATAGTCATTACACCTAAATGTAATAACGAAAAACCAGTTCAATCTTCAAAATAAAGTTTGTCTAAGAAACATCATTAATGTCTACTTATTGAAAACTTTTCCAAAGACTAGCAATTACCTGTCTAGAAGCCTTTCTTTATGAGATGTGGCTTCATCCTCTGAAGGTATATGTGTATTTATTCTAGGAACAAGCTGCATGAAAGGAGCGTAATATAAGTTTCAATTCCAGTATTCCTTAAAAACAATTGCAACAAAATGTTTACTCACCGGAACAACATCAACTTCATTGAGCTGCCTGGTGAAATCAGCATCAAACTCTGATTCACTTTTTATTCCCAATGCCTGGTTGGGTTCTTCACCACCTGAATGTCTGTATTCAACAGGGTGGCTAGAGGAAGATGGTTCAAAGAAAATAGACTCTTCTGGAACTTCGTTATTAGTTCCTGATAATATAATAAAGTTCATCGATATGGCATAGTAATGCTAATATATGTAAGGAGCATATGGACAAAAAGATTGAAAACTTAACCGTACCTGAAAAATGATCCTTAGATGGATAGTCATCAATAACCTGCCATGACTGGACACCATCATCGCTGGGGAATTGCTGGCCATGATAACACCCTTCGTTATAGTAAGCTCTAGATTCTCCTGTAATTGAGAGCTGGTTTTGCAACGCATGAGCGATTTCCTCATCAAGATTGGTGTTGTTATAGTAAACTGTGTCATCATCAGCATGTTGTTGTTGACCAATTCCAGCTTCAGGCTGACCACTCTCTCCATATGAATAATAGAAGAACTTGTCTACATCGAAAAGATTGAGGAATCCAGAATCTGACTCTTGATCATTCATTTTTATAAATCTCTTTTTATTCGCCTCCTCAACCAAAGGTATCTTTGTTATTGATCACCTAATCAAGAAAATTCAAGCTTCAAGTCAAGTAGTAAAAGTGAAATAATTTACACACAGAATACAAAAGTTCAAGTTAGGAAGTAGTAAAAGTGAATTGATTTAGAGAGTGTATTATAGTATAAAAGTTAATACTATTATACTATAGTATGAACTAATTAAAACAGACATTCTATTAGGGAGTAGTAAAAAGTATTTTGTTATAATGTGCAACAAGTAACCATATAGCAGCTTGGCAGCAATTCATATTTAGTGCTTGACATTGAAATTTTACATCTTTCAAGATGAATGTTGGACTGGACTTGATTATAAAAAATCATCTCCTATATGGTTCTTTGAAAGACAAATATGACATTTTAAGACATATGCACCCACATTCAGAATTATCTAAACCCCATATGATTTTGTTACAAAGAAAAATTAGATTTATAAAAAATACTCATTCATGAAATTTGGACATCTGCCTAGAAGAGATTTGACTCTTTCTATATACCCAGCAGAAAGAAAAAATCTTTTTACATATATATGAATAAGAACACAAACTCAGTCATGAAGTATATACCACACATAGAAAGCGCAACTGCAGCATCCACGAGTGATCTATCTAAGTGGATTGCCCAAATGGTATAGAAGTTAATACTACGGAGGATACTATAGTATGAGCTAATTAAAACAAATCTTGTATTAGGAAGTAGTAAAAGCATTTAGTTACTATATGCAACAAGTAACCTATTCTGACCACACCACATAGCACCTTTGCAGTAGTACATATATAATGCTTAAAGAGAGTTGCATGATCCACATTCATACTTTGCATCTTTCCATATGAATGATGGACTTGATTATAAAAAATCATTCCTTATATGGTTCTTTGAAAGACGAATCTAAAATTTTAAGACCATGCACCCACATTTAGAATTATATAAACCCCATATGATTTTGCAATATGAAAACACAAAGAAAAATTAAGTTTATAAAGAAATACTCATTCATGAAATTTAGACATATTCTTGGAAGAGATTTGATTTTTGCATGAAATTTGGCCAGAATTGAGAAAGATTTTTTTTTTATACCAAAAAATGAATAAAAACAAGAACTCATTCATGAAGTATAGACATCTACCCATAAATGTTTAACTTTGCGATATACCCCACATAGAAAGCATAAAATGCAGCATCTACGAGTGATGATCTCTCTATGTGGATTGCTTAAATGGTATAAAAGTTAATATAGTACTACGGAGTATTATACTATAGTATAGAATGAGCTAATTAAAATAGACATTATATTAGCATGTAGTAAAAGCATTTAGTTACTATATGCAACAAGTAACCTATTCTGACCACACTTAATATATAGCAGCTCTGCAAGAGTACATATATATAATGCTCAAAGAGAGTAGTTGCATATTCCACATTCATTCTTTGCATCTTTCCATATGAGCATTGGACTTGATTATAAAAAATCATCCCTTATATGGTTCTTTGAAAGACAAATGTGACATTTTAAGACCATGCACCCCCATTCAGAAATATCTAAAGCCCGTATAGTTTTGCTACATGAAAACACAAGGAAAAATTAAATTTATAATGAAATAGTCATTCATGAAATTTAGACATATTCCCAGAAGAGATTTGACTTTTGTTTTATACCCGGTAGAAAGAAAAAATCTTTTTACCAATGATGATGATGATGAGTTAATCATTGGCTGAGAAACGTGACAAAGAGGAGGCAACCCGGTTGAAATTGCTCTCTATCCATCTCTGCACGTTTCCAGCTTCACACAATCACACCTAAACTAATGAGATAAAATAATGCAGCAACTGGGAGTGATATATCTAAGTGGATTGCTCAAGTGGTATAAAAGTTCATACTAAACAAATGCACCAAAAATAAAAAAAGGCCGTCTATTAGGAAGTACTCCCTCCGTCCCCTTAAGTTTGTCCCATTTTACCTTTTTCGTCCGTCCCACTAAGTTTGTTCCATACCATATTTGGTAACATTTGAGTGGTTAGAATTCATTCTTACTTTATTTACACTTTATCAATTCAATACTAACCACACAATTCCACTTTTTCTTAAAAACCACACCACACCCCTCCGTCCCAAACTTAGGGGGACGGAGGGAGTAGTAAAAAGTACTCGTATTAGTTACTATATGAAACAAATAACTTATTCTGACCACACCCTACTAGCAGCTCTGCCGCAGCAGTACATATATAATACTCCGTATTCATTAAGAGAGTTGCATATATGATGAGTTGAGATGAATGATGGACTTGATTATAAGAAATCACCCCTTGTGTTGTTATTGGAAAACCAAATTTGACATTTTAAGACCATGTACCCACATTCATAATTATCTAAACCCCCTATGATTATGCTCTATGAAAACACAATGAAAAATTAAATTTATAAAAATACTCATTCATGAAATTTAGCCATCTGCCGGAAGAGAATTAATCACTTTTGCTGTATACCCAGAACAAAGAATGAATCTTTTTGAAACTAAATGAATAAAAACACAAACTCATTCATGAAGTGTAGCCATCTACTATACCCAGAAAAGATTCAATCTTTGCTACATAAAAAAACGTAAAATGCAGAGTGATCTATCAAAGTGGATTGCTCAAATCACAAAGTAAAAGCAAGTAATTGACAGAGTGTTAATGGTGGGATGATCCATCAAACTAAAGAAAGCATAAAACATCACAAACCCAAACAAATTCGACCGACAAAACAAGGAATTATCATGATTCATGAAGTTGGTGTTTGTGCAGGTTACTTGAGGAGGAACAAGAAGAAGAAGAATTCACAGATAGAAACCTTGGATCGAAGAATTTGCAGGAAAGTTTCACTGGAGTGAAGTTGATCGGTAACGGATGATCTGACTGTAATCTAGCAATCTGCTGCGTGATATATGCTTATTATCGAGTCAGGGGGCGGTGGAGGAAGAAAAGAAACCAGAAGTTGTTGTAACGTATATGTGGGGGCGGCGTGATACTTATAGGGTGAGGAGGATGACGGCTTACTCTCTGAATAGAAATTGAAGAAGTAACGGAACTGTTAATGTGTTGGCAAAAACACGAGGAGGAAGAAGAAAGAGTTTGAAATACGCTGCCCATTATACGTCTTTCGGTCCTGTCTGCGCCAAAAATCAGGCAGTAAAAACCGTCTTCTTCTTTTTTTATACAACGGCATCCGTAATAGGGAGCATTACTGTAATCCGGAGTGTTAATAATTGAAATTATTTCAATAATAATACGGAGTAGTAATACACTAAGGATGTTTTTACTTGGACTGTAATTTGCTGGTCTGGTCTGGTCTGGTCTGGTCTGGTCTGGTCTGGTCTGAACTGGTCTGGTAAGGTCTGGTTTCTTTGTATTTTTATAAATAACCAAGTCTGGTCAGGTCTGGACTGGTCTGGTCTGGGACAAATTACAGTCCAAGTAAAAACATCCTAATACTTCGTAATTGAAAAATGTTTGGGGTACGTGGTTTTTATGTATACGTTTTTTATGTACATATTTGGCCCGCCCCTACATCCTACATACTTTGTTCAAAGGTGTTCAGGCGAACACTCAAAATTTTGAAAATAAAATGTAAAAATATATGTATAGAATTGATATAATAATATATGTATTGTATTTTTATATAATATTTTTTACTCTTAACCCTTTTGCTAGTTTTTTGTTGTTGAAAAAATTATGTTTCTTCAATTGCGGGATCAAAAGACATTATTGTGTAATACTTTAACCATGAATTTGTTTGAACACCCAACTTCCAGTTGCAAGATCCGCCACTGCATCCAGCTCAATCGACTAAGACAGCCCATTAATTACTAGAACTTTTTTTTCGGTGGCATTTTTGTAATTTAAGCGAAAAATTGTGGCTTCTGCTAAATGAGCATTGGTGTACATTTAATGAGCATCTGATATATTCTATCAAGTATTTGGAGGCTAACAATGACCATCAATTCATATGTTCTAATTCATTTTTTTCTTTTATAAAAACTTATTAAATTAATAAATTATATCTATAATTAACTCCTATGCATTTGAATATGTGAATTTAATGTAATACGATACTTTTAACATATGCATTGCTATGACATTTTAAAAATGAGCTTAACACCGCTACCAAATGAGCATACATAACTTACAAAATGTTCATTGATATGAAAACAGTAAGGTTTGTTAGTAGCTTAACATCCCAGCAGTTTCATTGATGAGCAGCAAACATTCTCTATTGAGATGAAAATCACAGTTTCTGTTAAATGAGCATTACTACACTTTTAATAAGCATCAGACCTATTATGTTGAGCGTTAATTTCATCAGCATTGATATGAAATTTTATAAATGAGCATAACGTCAGTACTAAATGAGCACACATAACTTACAAAGTGTGTAATGATATGAACATTACGACATTTTCATTGAGCATCAAACATCTGCTATTGAGATGAAAATCACGATTTTTGTTCAATGAGCATTAATGAGTTTTTAATGAGCATCTGGCCTATTAAATTATATTTATAAGCAATTCTTATGAATTTTAATATGCGAATATAATGTAATGGTACTTTCATTGAAAGAGAACTGATCAGGTCCAGCCGGAGGGACGGGAGGTGCCGTCCGAACTCCGCCTTTTGTGGCGGTTCCCGCTGGAATGTTTTGATGAATTTTTTTGAGCATGTTCCTCATCAAGTCTAATTTGTCCATACCAAATTTCAACTCAAAATTCGACGGGGAAGGCATTCAAATCATTTTTTGAAGATGAATACGCCAAAATATACATATAAAAACGTAGTCAACTTTAAAAAATGATTTGAATGTCTTTCCGATCAAATTTTGAGATGAAATTTGGTATGCACAAACTATACTTGATGAAGAATATGTTCCAAAAATTTCATCAAAAAATTCTACCGGTAACCGCCCCAAACGGCGGAGTTCGGATGGCAGCTGGACAGGGGAGGGCTGGACCTGATCTTTTCCGTTCATTGATATGTAATTTTATAAATGATTAAATAAAGCATCGATACCAAATGAACATATATATGTAACTTACAAAATGTGCATTGATAATAAAATCGTAAAATTTGATAGTTGAACGGCATGGCATTTTCATTGAGCATCAAATCTCCTCTATTGAGATGGAAACCACAATTTCTGTTAAATGAGCATTAATGAACTTTTAATGAGAATCAACATATTTTGTTGAGTATTAGGAGTCTAATACTGAGCATCGTGATATATGATTCATATCATTTAATCTTTTTTCTTATTTTTTCTTTTATAATAATTTCTTAAAGTATATGTATACTCCTATGAATTTCAATATGCAAATCTAATTTAATATTATACTGATGAAGTATTGATTGATATGAAAATCATAAACTATTATTTGAGTATCAAGACATGTTCATTCAGCATCAACCTTTCTCTATTGAACATATGAATTCTACATTTGAGTATACAAAATTTGGAAATGAATCGTTATATTTTATCAAAACATTTTCAATTCACCAAGTATTTTGTTCTCTACTATTGAGCATCATTATGATGTATATTGAGCATTAGAACTCTCAAATTGAGTATACCAAAACATCTTCATTGAATACCGGATTCTCGACTATTGAACATCGATCAAGACTATATTTATGTGTATTGAGCATCAGAAATTTGCAGTTAAAAATATAAAAATTTAAAAACTTATTTGAGCATCAAGACATCCTATGTTTTAACAATTGATGATGAAATCCTACTCCCGTTGTCTCAAAATAAATGTGTTATTTTCTGTTTTTGGATTATCTCAAATAAATGTCTTGGGATGAAATAACTGATTCATATTATTTAACCAATTTCAATTAAAATCTCCACATCTACTTTTACTTTTGAACTATTTTCGAAGTGTGTTTGTCAAATCCAAACAAGACATCTATTCGTAATAGGGGAAAGTCGGTAGTATTTAGCAAAAAGATCTTATATGTAGCTGAAATTATTCAAAAATGTGCTTATTTTGACAATATGTAGTTCAGAAAATGTATTTCTCATAAAAATGAATAACTTTTTTCTTTGTTAAAAAATTAGTGCTCTTACAATTATATTATGATTGTAAAAGATAGCAGGGAGAAGAAAGACACCATTTTTATCAAACAAACTAGTTCTATAACGCGCTATGCACGAGGGAAAAGGCCCAATGTTATTTTAACGAGATTAACATAATATGAATGTTAATGATTAATATATTTAATTAAGTTATGTGAAATTGCACACAAGATTAGTTTTATGCATATTTTCCCACATAACTGATGATTAAAAAGGTGTGTGAGCATCTCTTTTCCCGTAAGCCTGACAAGGATCGTTCCAGAACACCCTATAAGAATGTAATATCAATAATGTGGTAATAAACAATCTAAGAAAGGGTGGGCAGGATGATTAGGTTTATAGCGCCTAGCTAGAACATATACGCCATTTTGATGTTTGAATCCAATAGCACTAAACATCTAAAGTACGATATCGACAGTGGATGAGCTAGGGACCATGGGGTACCTGCCCCCGCTTCGGGAAAAAAACAATCCCCACTTTCCTTTTTCGTTCTTAACGAAAAAAATGTTCCAATTTCTAAATCTTGTCATCATACCCTCAATAATTTTGAAAATAAAACACTATTACACCTACTTTTTTGGATTTGTCCTTCATTCTATCACATTATTCCAATATTTTCTCATCATACTCTCAATAATTTATATTCTCTATCACTATTCTTAATCTACCTACTTTTGAAATGGTAAAATTTTTAAATATATATAAGAATAAAAATAAGCACTAAAAATAAGATGAATAATTAAATTAGAAATGACAAATTAAAATAATTACAATAGAATAATGATTTTCGAAATTCTTGCGTAAGGTAACATACATAATAAAAAATGAAAAAAAACAATTAGAACATTAAATGGAAATCAAATCAATCTAAGTGCATAGAATAATTAAATGGAAACTCAAAAGTTTGTGTTGGAAACATTGAAGTTAACGGAGTTAAGGGGAAGATTTAAATTTAATGATGAATGGTACAATGACTAAAACAAATTGTACAAGTGTAAATTGCTTTAGTGTTACACCAACACTTTTATCATTCCTAAAATGCCTTAACTATCATTGCTGCTTATAAGTTTTTAGAATAGAATTAGAATATTTAGCTTTCATTTTACTAAAATATTTTCATGATCAATATTTCTTTAATCAATAATGTTTTAGAATAATCTTAATTTCAAATGTGGGATGCCTTGTCCTTGTATTAGGATGATTGTACATGCAGTGTGATTATAACAAATGACATGGTGTGACCCTGCTATAACGAATCAACAACCTCCCGCCGATTCTGTATCACCTAGCCAGCCATGTCGTGGAAGCGTCTTGTCCCAACTCTCAACAGAGTCTTGGTTGAGAAAATTAACGCTCCGACTAAGACCACCCTTTATCATGGAACAGTGGGGATCATTTTTAGAGGTGCAATTCCCATTATCATGTATTGAACAATAATAATATCGATCCATATCCTTTAATTGCCCTTTTTGAAAGGAATCAAACTTCTTCTAAAAATAGAGTCCTATCAAATCTTACTATTTACTCAGTATATTTGTTTTTATCTTTTCCTTTTATAAAGGATCTCAGAATCCTTCCTTACCTTAAGTCATGCAACGTACCTGTGTAAATATTTGAGTTATCAATGAGCAGGTTCACACCACAAAACCCTAAACCACACACAACGACTGGTTTCTGTCAACATGACGGGATCAGAATCACCAAAAATCAATGAGGAAGTTACTGGCTCCTCATCAACAATGATAGATCCGAACTCACCTTATTATTTACATGGATCCGATTACCCACGGACGATGCATGTAAATGACAGCCTGAACGATGGAAATTACGGGGATTGGTCCCAAGAGATGACTAATTTTCTGTACTCGAAGAACAAGATCGGTTTTGTTGATGGGAGCATCAAGATGCCAAATACAGGGGCACAACGAGATGTTTGGAAGCGTTGTGAGGCCATAATCAAAGGCTGGCTTACAACAGCAATGGAGAAAGATAATAGAAATAGCGTAAAGTACGCAGAGCATGTGACTTCGGCAGACACAGAGGAAATCACCATATCTAAACTCATTTTTAATTTTGAAGTTCAGCGAGCTTATGGCGAAAAACAACAACCCCTTTCTTTTGAGAAGCAACAACCCCGAGCACCATTTCCACAAGCTTA